AGATTTCCATAGTTTGCAAAAGTTGTCATACTAGAATGTGACCAGTCTCAGATATGTTTTAGCATAATATGTATAATTTTTGTGTAATGCATATGTTATGACATCAATAAAACATTGGAGTGTGAACTGTCAGCCCCATCTAGCATGTCAATAATGTATGTCAAATTTCTTAATTAGTGATAAGTATTATTGCATTCTTTGACCAATTCAAAAGTTTGAAGCATAGGCAAAGAGATGTCTCAGGGCTTAAGAGTACTTGATGCTCTTGCAGAGGACCCGAGTTTGGCTCCCAGGACCCAATTCAGGAAGATCACAAACATTTGTAAATCCCATTCCAGGAGGACTCAACACTTCTGGCCTCCTCAGTCACCTGCACTCACACACACACACACACACACACACACACACACACACACACACACACACACACACACACTTTAAAAAAGCATTATTTCTCACAGAGTGCAGCTATACAGCTTTATAATTGCCTGATTACCCAGTTTCTCAGAAAGGCATAACATCTCCTTTTCTTCTCTCTGCCTCCATTCTAAGCATGCTTTCTCTGGTCCTGTCAGCTTCTTCCCTCTCCCTTCCTTCTATGTACTTGATCGTTATACTGTCATCTCCTGTCTCCACCTCTCAAGTGCTGGGCTTGCAGGCATACACCAACACAGCTGGCTCCAAGTGCATCTTCGAGATGCAAAAATGTGGAAGATTATTGGACAAGATGACCCATCCAGCAGAACTCAAGCCTGGTACTTGGGCTGAGAACAGAATAGAGTGGGTAGGTTATAAGTCCTGGGGAAAGAACCCACGATTATTATTCTGCTAAAGGGACACAGGATTAAAACACTCTCTAAGGACTCCTCTCAACACCCACAATGATTAGTATAACATTATTATAATATTAATGCAGCTCTTAACCCTCAGCGATGTCCCATACAGGAGTAGACGGTGATCCATACACAGGCTCACAACTGGTCAGTGTGCAGAGAAAAAGACTGTGGAGCGCTCAGTCCTAAATTCCACATCTGTATCACGCCACCTGCTCTCAGGCTTCAGGGATCATGGAGGAACAGAGGTTAGAAAGACTGCAAGAGCCAGAGGAGGAGGAGACTGCTGCAACTGAGTCTTTTAAAGGTGTGTCAGGACCACTGCACTCACGGACTCACAGCAACTATGACTGCACAAGACCCACGCAAGCTCAAGCTTCCTAAAAAGCCCACCAAGAATGGGGAGGAGCTCACGACCACTCTCAATTTATGGCTGCTTGGGCAGGGAGACTCAGTTTCCTTCAGTGATGCAGCCCCATGCTCCCACAGATTGCCTTATACCCACGCAAATACTAGCAGTGTTAAGTGCACTCAGTTTAAAAAAAGAAAGCTTGAAATTGGGAAGAAGAAAGTGGGGGGACCTTCGGGAACACTGAGGGGCAGAAGTGGGAGATAGATTTGATCAAAACATTATGTACATGTGTAAAAATTCTTAAGCAGTTAATAAAAAGATCTGGACAAGGAAGTAAATTCTTTTAAGATGAGAGAAGATCTTGAAGAGAACTAGGAAAAGGTCCTACTGGAAAAGAAAGCAGAGTGTGTATGTGTTGACTTCTGGTGTCCTTAGGCAACCAACTGCAAAAGTGTCAGCCGGTGCAGCTGGCCCCCAGCTCCACAGCTGGAACTCACAGTGACCACAACACCCTGCCCGGCTCATTGCTTATTGTACATAGCTCTTTCCCTGTTGGACCCCACTTTATCCAACACTACAATCTGATGTTGGGGGACGTTATCCCCATTCTGCAGGGAAAGGGGCTAAGGGCTGCTGGGGTTCACTAGCTCACCCCAAGAGAATACACTACAAAAACAGGAGAGGAAAGGGGGTAGGTGTGGTAACTTCCCACCTATAATCCCAGAACTCGGGAGACTGAGGCAGAAGGGCTGTCAGAAATTCTAGGCCAGGCTGGGCTATGTATGCATGGAGTACAGCCCTGTCTCCAAAAAAAAAAATGGAAAACAAGTTGAACATCAACCAAGCTGGAAAGGAAACTTCTTTCACACCCTACTCTTGGATTTCCCCCTTTTCATCACCCGGCTCCTCACCGTGATGTCCCAGAAGCAAGGCAACAGTACAAAGACAAAGCAGAGGTGACCGTGTTGGCTGGGAAGCAATCAGAGGCAGAAAGCCTGGTCACCACCAAATGTCAGGAATCACGCAAGACGAGGACATCTGGAACAACGGAAGAATCCAGCAACAGTGAGGATGGCCAGACACCTGCCCCTCCATTAATTAGGACACCAGGTATATGGCACTTCAATCCCTAAATCTAAGTATTATGTAACTGAGTTTTCTGATGTTGTTTCCAGACTGGGTCCCCCATGCCACCCAGGCTGGCCTCAAACCTACGTATCCAAGGATGGTGAAGGCCTAGCGTTCTGCCTCTGACTCCAGAAGTGCTGGATTACAGACATGAGCCACAATGGTGGGCCTGAAGGTTGTGAACTCCCGGCAACCTGAATGTGATCCTGGAGCTTACATAAACATGGAAGAAATGGCCCCCGAAATTTGTCCTTTGACCTCTGCATTGGCACAGTGCTACACATAGCCCCTGTCCCTCCCCATGCGCGGTAAGATTCCTTTAATTGCTTTAAAATAGTTGCAATAAAAAGTGAAGTTGTACTTTTCAAGTCAAGTTTGAATGGTCAATATTTGCTCAGACTTTGGGTTTTTAAAGACGGGGCCTTGCTGGTCTGGCACTTACGATGCAGGCCAGGCTAACTTCAAACTTATAATCCTCTGGTCCCCACCTCCCAAGTGCTGGGGTTGCAGGTACATACCATTATGCTCAAATTTGGATATGACATCGCAGGCCATCCCAAACAGAATTGTCTACAAAGAGGAATCTGAGGAAAGAGAGTAAGTCAATTGCCCCAAAGTCTCAGAGTTAACACATAGTGGAGGCAGAAGTAAGAAAACCCGGGCAGTCTGGTTACATTTTGTACTCTTACAACCATCCATGCCTTCTGGACACATCTTACCAGCCCGAGAGTCAAAAGTGGTGATGCAGAGAGAACACTAGCACCCATTCATTCCGGCAAGCCCTTGCAGATTGCTCACTAATACAGGAAGCCCGGGGTCAGATTCTCAAAAGCACCACATGAAATACTTTCATCTTCATGGCAACTTTACAGGCGAGGAAACAGACGAGAAAACTCATCTGTCTAAGCTCGGCTACACTGGCTAAAGATCACATGGTGTGTGCCGACACTCGTGTAAGCCTCATGATTAACATTGCAAGGTAAATTCCACTGTTGCTCATCCTCCTTACCTAAATAACTTGTCCAAGGCTCTGTTCTAGCTAAGCAAAGGGCAAGGCCAGGATTCATGCTGCCTCAAAGCCCTCCTCAAAACAAAGTCATGGTAACACTGGGCTATATGGTGGAGGACCGGAAATTCAAACCCAGATTTACCCTCCCATCTGCAGAACTGTGCCCGGAAAGCCAGCAAGTGAGCTGAGGAACCTGAAGAAGGGACATTTTGGTTTTGGGTTTTTCCCGACAGGGTTTCTCTGTGGCTTTGGAGGCTGTCCTGGAACTAGCTCTTGTAGACCAGCCTGGTCTCGAACTCACAGAGATCCGCCTGTGTCTGCATCTTGAGTGCTGGGATTAAAGGTGTGCACCACCACTGCCTGGCTAAGGTGCAGTCTCTCGAAGGAGAAAGTGATTAGTAACACAATAATGTTTCTAGATGAAACGGAAAGTAAAGAATCCCATCCAGGGGAAGCCTTTTCAAACAGCAATACAGTAACGAGCAAAGCATTAAACTGTCAAGGAAATCAGACTGAATCAGAAAAGCTTTACATCATCTTCTTAATTAAGAAAATATTCTTGATGAAGGAAAACAGGTTTTTAGTTCCCTGTAATTTTGGCCACACGCTTGAAATTCAACAAGGAACCAAAATGCGTGATTTTCCTTTTGTCACGCTAGACTATCATCCTGATTTTGGACACCTACTTCCTCAAACTGAGCCCTGCAAAACCCCAGTGGTTTACCAGACCTCCAGGGACCTTTGCAAAACTCTCCTTCAAATCTTGAAAGAGCCATTTAGAAATCGGAATAAGCCGGGGGAAAAAAGCAAGCCAACAACTGGGGGAAAATGTCTTTCTGGTTGGATCGGGGGCTTGTGGTTCAAGTTCTGGCAAACGCCGCAGAGCCGGAATCATTTTTAACTGCAATCGGATTTATGACCACAATACCAGCAGCTGCGGAAGCCCAAGCCTTAAGCATAGGCCCAAGAAAAAGGAACAGGAAGCGACGGGAATGGCAAGGGAGCCCTTGGAGGTCAGGGCTTGTTCCTGGATTTCTGAGATTGGGCAAGGGATAATTCTTGGAAAAGTGCGAGGCGATCGGCCAACTCCAGGGTCCCAAACGCGGGCCCTGAACAAGGTACTTTCACGCCCCCTTGCGGACCCAAGTGACAACTGACGATGTGCCAATGAAGGGATAGGTAGAGGGCTCGGAAAGGTTTTCCAAAATGAGCCTTCAAGGGACTCGCAGAGATCCGCCCGTAAGTAAACTGAGACCCGAGGCAGGGAAGCATGCCTTGTTAGCAAGAGGAAAAGCAGAACGGCAGGCGATCACGGAGCCGGTGCTTTCATCTGGAAGTGCAGGGGCTGGAGTCCGATCCAACCCTCCTATGGGGACCGAGCAGTCTAGCTAGGCTGTCATAGTCATATCAGGGAGACCTCGCCGAGGGGTGGCGAGACCGCGCGCGGGACGCAGGGCTGCAGAAGCCCAGCCCGCACCGTGCGCTCCCGGGCACGGGTCCCTGCAGCCTTCCCCGAGCTGCGCGTCCCGGGGGCTGCAGGCGCCAGGCGCGAGCCTCCGATCCCACGCGCCCGCTAACGGTCCCCGCGGCCGCCCGCGCGACTCGCCCGCCACGGGTCAGGGGGCGCGCGCCCTCCGGGGCGCCGCGGGCACCGCCAGCAGTGCGACCCTCTCCTTACCGGAGCTGCTCCCCGGTGACTAGGACTTCAGCCATGCGTTCCAGCTCTCTCTGCTGCGCCCCGCCACTCCCGCCGCTGCTGCTGTCGCCGCCGCCGCCCTCCTCCATGCTCCCGACTGCGCGGCTGCCACTCTCCCTCTCTCTGCCTTCGCGGTCCCGCCGGGTGCCTGGCGTTCCGATTAGTCTGCCCGCGCCGAGGCCGCTCCGGCCATCTTTGTTCCTGGCGGTCCCGCGGCTCGGACGCGATTGGCTGGCGAGGGGATCCCTGCGGGCGAGCTGAAGATTTGGGCGAGTCTAGCCCTGGAACTTCGGCGTGGGGGCGTGGCCCGGTCGCTCTCGTGGTCCGGGGGCGGGGCCGAGGAGGAAAATATAAACATCTGGGCGGGGCAGTGAGCTGTGTGTTTCTTCAGGAGGTTGAACTCTTCCCTCCTTTTTATATTTCTTCTTCTTCTCCTTCTCCTTCTCCTTCTCCTTCTCCTTCTCCTTCTCCTTCTCCTTCTCCTTCTTCTTCTTCTTCTTCTTCTTCTCCTTCTTCTTCTTCTCTCCCAAACTCATGCTGGGGAACTTTGCATTTTTCCTGTATTTTCCATAGCCGAGTTGCAAAGAATAAAAGTGAGAACGATTTACTCCGTCAATGAGCAATCGAAGATGTTGCCACTTTTTCTGACCACTTTCCCTGAAGACAGCCTACTTACTACCTCACAAAGGAGTCAGCAAAGCATCCTGGCCTGGGGTTTAAAAAGACTTAGAATCTGGCTGCATTCCTGTGACCTTTCTACCTAAATGCTCTTCATTCTTCCTTACAATAACTGTAGCTAGCACCTGTCGACACCTGGCGCATTAAAGGTGTTTCGGGTAGGTGGATGCCTTGCTTTGTTTTCCTAGATCATAATCTGAGTGTTGCCTTCCCTTAACATCCAGAAGGCGACTCAGAGGAGTGAGGTAATTTCTCTCATGCAAGCAGGTTGTGTTTTAAAACAGCTGCAAGTTTCCAAGGATGGTGACATAAAATTTCCAAGCATGATGATACACCCGTGATCCCAGAACTCCAGAGGATGAGACAGGAGGATGGTGAGTTTGAACCACTGGGCTACAAAGATGCCTTGTCTCATAAAACACACTAGAACAAAAGCATCTCACCTGACAAAATGGAGCAGTACGGTCAAGAGTGACGTTAAACACGTTTGAATGGCAGAACTGGTTTAAAATGTTCCCAAAAAACCTGCTTGGCGTCATCCCTTTTCACTTTGGGTTTGTAAACTTCCACATAGCTGCAATTCATGGTTGGATAAATATTTTGAAGGGTCTTTGAATTTCCCTTCTGTAAGATACAGGCACTTGTTTCTGCGTACCTTGACACAAGGACAGTAATAACTGTGACAAGATGCAGGAAGTGCCAATGCATACCACATCATATGATGTTATGAATGTTACTCCACCTTCCTGAAGACTGGGTCTGACTCTTACTGGGTGTAAAAATAGAACATTTAACATTTTTCAAAGCCTAATTATTGGTAAAAAAAAAACATTGTAGTCGCATTTTAAGAAACAGATTAAAATATGTTGTTTGAGATAGAATCTTGCCATGTAGCCCAAGTTGACATCAAGCTCGGACCCCCTGCTTTGACCTCCCAAGTGCTGGGATTACAGGCACTGAACATCATATTCTGCTCTATTTTTTTTCAACAGGAAAACTCACATTAGTCTTTCTAGTGCTCTAAAAAGACCAGTCCTCGTGGTTTCCTGAAGTATTGCAAAGGTATTTATGTTTGTGCTTTACCTGACACCTCAAACCTTTTTTATGTTGTTTAATTTATTCTCACAAAACCCTGTTAGGTATCAGTGTTTCAGACACAAATGTGAAAGGAGAAATAATTTGTCTAAGTTTCACAACTACAGAGTTTGGCAGTCCTTCAATGCTTATTCTTTTTTTTTTTGTTTTTTTTTTGGTTTTTCGAGACAGGGTTTCTCAGTAGCTTTGGGTAGCTTTGAAGGCTGTCCTGTAGACCAGGAAACATAACTCTTACTTTCTAGGGATTGGTCTTTGACATTTATGAAATAATGGTTTCATTAAATAAAATTTTGTAGATCTATTTTAATAACAAAATTTTGTATATTTATGATTTTCTTTTTTTAAAAAATCACCAAGTTTAAAGCTAAAAATTTTCTAGGCAGAAAAATACCTGACCTGAAAGGGAAAGTAACTTTTATTTTTAGATTCAACGTTTTGAGACAGAATCTCATGTAGCCAAGGCTGGCCTTGAACTCCTGATTTTCCTGCTTCCACTTCTCAAGTGCTGCTGGACCTGGATAATTTTCCTTGGAAGCCCCTCCCATTTGTGTGTATGTGTGTGTGTGTGTGTGTGTGGTGTGTTTGGTGGTGGTGGTGGTGGTGTGTGTGTGATTGTGTGTGTGTGGTGTGTTTGGTGGTGGTGTGTGTGTGATTGTGTGTGTGTGTGGTGTGTTTGGTGGTGGTGGTGGTGGTGTGTGTGTGATTGTATGTGTGTGTGGTGTGTTTGGTGGTAGTGGTGGTGTGTGTGTGATTGTGTGTGTGTGTGGTGTGTTTGGTGGTGGTGGTGGTGTGTGTGTGTGATTGTGTGTGTGTGGTGTGTTTGGTGGTGGTGTGTGTGTGATTGTGTGTGTGTGTGGTGTGTTTGGTGGTGGTGGTGGTGTGTGTGTGTGATTGTATGTGTGTGTGGTGTGTTTGGTGGTAGTGGTGGTGTGTGTGTGATTGTGTGTGTGTGTGGTGTGTTTGGTGGTGGTGGTGGTGGTGTGTGTGTGATTGTGTGTGTGTGTGGTGTGTTTGGTGATGGTGGTGGTGGTGGTGTGTGTGTGATTGTGTGTGTGTGTGGTGTGTTTGGTGGTGGTGGTGGTGGTGGTGTGTGTGTGTGTGTGTGTGTGTGTGTGTGTGTGTGCTGTGTGCGATGGTGGTAGCAATATTTGTAAATGATGAAAGCTAGTTTGCTGTTATGTATTAAGCTTTAAGCTCTCACTAGATACACGGAACACATCATACCCCACCACGGAAGCCTCTCTTCTAACAGGGAACTGACTCCCGAGCACAAGTAGGTACCCGGAGACTGTGACTGTGAGTCCTGGAGCAACAATGCCTGTGACTACGGAAGACAGAAGGGCATTGCTGTGGTAATTCCTCCACCACCAAGATTTTGGAAGAGCTGAGAATCCTAACAGACTTCGGATTGGTTTCTGACTCAACTTGCAAGCGGATTATCCCCTCAGAATCTCTGTCTCAAAGGGAAAGGTTATTTTTACAGCCCCCACTGCTTACTGAGTGTATTAGATGTAATTTAGTTAAGTAGGAAGTGTGAACCATCTCTTACAGTTCTCCGCACTCAGCCCCTTTAGACCTTCTGGTGTTTGGTGCTTTACGGCCAGTATTAAAGTTGGGATGGGAAAGGGCGCGTGCGTGCGTGCGTGCGTGCGTGCGTGCGTGCGTGCGTGTCTAGGCAATCAAAGTGTACTATCCCCACTGGCTCTACCCCTCCTCTTTCTCAGGGTCTTCTGAGCTCGGAAGGGAGGGATTTGACGGATAGACGAGATATCCCACTTAGACCTGAGTGTTATCCTCTGCAAATATTTTTTTGTTGCCAGATCAGTCAAGACGGAGCTCATCTTTAGCATGATGAATGCAAGGTCTGGGAATATATCTTAGCGACAGAGCACTTGCCTAGCATGGCCAAGGACGTGGGTTTAATCTGCCAAAAGCAAGCAAATTGGCTCTTAGGTGAGATCTGAGAACCTGTATGTAACAACACACAAAAGACGAATGGCGGGGAAATTAAAAACTAATTGTAAAGAGAGGAAGAAATAAGGCATTCATGTCTTCATAATCCACACCCACTTTAATATTTTATTGTGTTGACGCGTCTTTTTGTAAGAACACATTACAAAAGAAACTGTGTTCTCCTGTTTGACCCTGCTTGCTGCCCCAGATCATTTAATATGTTGGTAAGTGCTGCCATCTACTGGTTCCTTTTGCAATGACACTAAAGGATCGCTAATTACATGTGGAGAAATGGCTACCTCCCAGTCTGTTATATTTATCCGGGTGATACTGGCGTTTAGTGATATGATATGATATGATATGATATGATATGATATGATATGATATGATATGATATGATATGATATGATATACACCACATTTCTTTAGGGCAATAACTCATAAAGAATTGGATTGTCCCAAAGCTCAACTGTCTTTCTTGGGAGGTAGTTATTATATGATTTTAACATAATACAGAATGGTCTGGAATGTGATTATTATTATTATTATTATTTGGTTTTTATAAGACAGGGTTTCTCTGTATTGTTTTGGAGGCTGTTGGATCATCCCAGCCTCAAACTCACAGAGATCCGCCTGCCTCTGCCTCCTGAGTGCTGGGATTAAAGTCGTGCGCCACCACCGCCTGGCTGGGATGTGATTATTGTACGTATTGATAAAGAATTGTGCCCTGTGCAGTTCCAGTCTTAGACAGAGAAGCTTTGCCTTTGGATAAAATGACTTTATTTGCCATTTTTGTGATATACACCTGGCAAATGACATTTCAAATTACGTATGGTTGATGTCTATGGTCTGTATTGTCACTGGAGACCATTACTGTGAGTGTGATCAGGGTGCATGGTGTGAAATTCCCAAATAATCAATGAAAATATTGTGTTGGGGAAATGTAGCTTTTCATTCTCTTAATCTAAACTTATTAGTTAAAAGTAATAGTGTTAGGCCTAAGAAAGGCCCGGATGCGAGGCCCAGTGTAAGCTCCTGAGCCTGACTTGAGTTTAGGGCTCAGATGTGAGGCCCAGTGTAACCTCCTTAGCCTGGCTAGAGTTTGGCGACCTGTCTCTAACCTGTAACCTCCACGTGGGAGGTGACTCAGCCAGACCTTATGCAAGATTGCCCCCTTCCTAGCTACCTGCCTGCTTGGTGGTGTTGGGGGTCCCTCGAATCGAGGGGGGTCCCCAAGCTGGATTCGTCACCCCAAGAATCAAGAGTCCACACGCCAATTGATGCAACACGCAAGAGGCTTTAATTAGGCATCTGCAGATGGGCCTCTCGGTCAGCTTTTAGACCGATTGGCCCCGAGGTTCAGTTACAATCAGCTTTTAAAGACAAAAACCACAAGCCTTTGGGAGGGGTCCCTATCTTGTGACGGGGGGGGTACATGACCACTGACCAGGGGAAGTAGATGTCCTCCTGACTTACATGTTGTAAATTCCATCAGACTTTGGTATGTGTTAATCATCTCTCCCTA